TCCTCAAAATATTCCCTCCATCATCCCGATACCTCTAACTCTCCATTTAATAACTCTCCTCTCCTATTTTTAATTGACAAATCCATTTGTTCCCTAGGCTTCCTCAACTTATTAATCTCACTCCAAAACTTTTTCTTATTTTCAACAAAATTTGTTGATAACATCTCACCCACACTCTCATTTGCTCATCATAGTAACATCATGCATCTCAAAACAGTATTTACAATGGAAAGAAAAGGCACTAGCAGGACAGATTTTCATTCTCGTCATTAACATGTATCTTTGCTTTCCTGTTTTTCTTGATACAGGAGCTCTTATTCCTATATTTACTTTCCAACTTATGAGGCATGAGACCTGGTCACTAAGTTCACTGATCATGGGATCAAGAAAGTTAACAGCAGGAACAGAGATGACATAGCCCTCAGTGACTATCTCTAAAAAAAATGACCCTTCCAGGAAAAAAAAGAGGCAGAGAAGTGTCTTGAATGGTTCTTGATATACAGAAGCAGAGCTACCCTTCCCTTACTTGGGTCAAACTTGATTAACTCCAACTCTCCAGGTGCTGTGTAACCCACATGGGCTTAATGTTTCCCCTAATCTAAGAAATCAAGAGGGACACTTGTGACAAAAAAGAAACACTACATTGAAAATTAATATTTTACAAGTGGACTGTGGCTGCACTCCTTCAATGATGTCCTGAGAGTGAGCAAGTTGTGCAGCAGCAAAAATTAAAAAATAAAAAACAACATAACAACATAACTATCTTTAACTACAATATCAGATCTTTAAGCAAGCATTATGATGACCTCCTAGCATTACTAAATTTCTTGCATGCCAATATGTCCATTATTACACTAACTGAAACCTGGCTAAAGCCTGATACTACAGATGTCTATGCCATTCCTGGTTACAGAGCCATACACAACTGTAGGCCAGACCAACAAGGGGGTGGCACAGCTATATACTACTCAGACCAACTAGAATGTATCACTAATACTTGCACAAGGGATGAACATGGGGAATATATAATAGCTAAATTCAAATCCAAATACCTACAAAAACCTCTCACAGTGATAAACATCTACAGAATTCCACAATCAAACATTAGCCAATTTAGTCAAAACCTAGGAAGTATGATAACTGATGCACGCATGAACAAAGATCACTTACTACTCTCAGGTGACTTCAATATAAATCTCCTGCAAACCAGGCCCACACGTTACTAAAAATTCACAAACACAAGGGTAACGCTTTTGCTACCAACATAACAAAACCTCAAGGTTACAGAACATGTTTCCCTACTTACCACATCGGGCCAACCCCATACCCCTTTAAAATCAGGCAAATTACAGAAAATACCACAGCCCTCCCTATTTTCCTCATAAAAACTTTTGGGGTAAAATACCCCCAAACACTACTAAAGCCCCCTTCGATTCACAATAGGCAGCCATAATAACTTCACAACAGCAGTAACAAACATTGACGGCACACTGAGCTGGGAAATCTACAAAATTTTGACGAATTTTTAATAATTTTCTAAAAAGACCCAATACCTTATAACAAGCCTCCCTAAAAAAAAACCAAACAGATGAAGCTAAGAGATTGAACGTCCCGGGGCTAACCCCCCAGCATTCCAACCCCTAAAAACAAAACACCGTATGAAAAAAGTACAATGGGTACTAACCAGAGACCAAACAAAATGTTACTCCAATCCTAACCACCTGATAAGGGGCAAAAAAATTGATTATGAAAAAATTTTCCCAACTTAAACGGGTGAAAAAAAAAGACCAAGACCCTACCCGAAATTCTGGGAACAAAAAAGATATCACGACATACGAAAAAAAAATTAGCAAAATAATAAAACCCCAACTCCCCCCAAACAAAACAGCAAAAGCTCGTATTTCTTCTCCACTATGGGTCAAAACCTTGCCCAAAATATCCCAAACCAATACCCCACAAAGACACCTCACGGCAACCCCCGAACAACGCCCTAGTCCGCCAACCCTCAAAGTCTCCCAATTACAACGCACTGAAAAACAAGGCGGGAGTTTTTAAAACCCTTAACCCCCCTTTATATACAAAAAAGCTCAAAATACATCCCCAAATCTTGCAACAACTTTTAACAAATCCACTGATCCCCACCTTCCCTACATTCTCAAAATGCGGGGGTCCCCCTGATCCATAAAGGAAGACCAAACAAGGTTAAATAACTTGGGCCCAATATAATTTTACACCCTCTCCAAAAATCTTAAAAAAATTAAATTTCAAAACAAACCACTCCTACCTCCCCCCCAAACATTCTAAATCCCTCCTTTTGGGATTCGGGCCCTAATAAAAATACTAATGTACTATATACACATGCCAAACTATACAGCAAAAAAAAAAGAAGTCCCACTGGGGATCTTCTTGACTTACATAAAGCTTTTGATACGTTGACCATACTTGCTCCCACGTAAATTTTCACCTTTTGGTTTTAGGGGACTCCCTAACCCTACCTCAATCTTACCTCACAACAAAAGCCAATATGTGGTCGAAAATGGGAAAGCCTTCCGCAAACCAATTTTTCAGTTGGTGTCCCACGGGGAAGTGCCCTGGCCCCTCTTCCTTTCTCCTTACATGAATGACCTACCAAATGCTTCGCAATTACCAAACCCCCCTTTTTGCAGAACACCACTTTTCTTCTCTCACCCGAGCCCAGTCACGTAGCAATACTGTAAACACCAATTACAGAAAAATTTTTACCCGGATGAGACTAACAAAATTTCACAAACATTGACAAAACCCACTTCATTTATTTGGTAGCAGGCTACGATGTACCTCTTAACATAACGATAAAAAGGTACCTATCACAAAGCTAACAGAGGGAAAATTCTTTGGAATCCACCTCGATAATAGACTCAAATTTCCTAACATTACAACAAATTTCTAAGAAAATTTCCAAAACTGTAGGGATACTATCGAAGTACGGTCTATGTTCCACAGCACCCCCTGGGCCCTTTTACTCTCTTATTTCCCCTATCTCACCATGGATTTGTGCAGGGGCTCAACAACAACTAACCACTCAGACCATAATTTCCCAACAAAGGGGCAGTTAGAAAGTAAATTTTACTACAGGGACACATCCCCAATATTCAAAACACTAAAACCCACCCCAACAAACCTCCATACTTTTTTTTGACTTTTACATACATAGAACACTTAACTCTGATATTAAAACCCCCCTCAAACATCCCTTGCCAACCTCAACAGAACACATGACCATAAAACAAGCACAGATCACTCTTTGATGTTTTCCCCGTGCCATCTCACCTACAAAAATCAAGAAATAAAAAGGCCCTAAAAACTGGAATTTATTACCGTAAAAAAAAAAGAAAAACCACCGTTTAAAATTCAAGTCCTTTCAAAGTTCACTTCCACTCAAAAAAAAAATTCGAATAACGAACCATAAAATTGTATATCCAAATGTTCCTCAAATTTTATCAACAAATGTTAAACCTAACTTTGTTTTTTTTTTAATACACACCTAAAGAAATACTCCATTCTACTGAAAGTAAGCAATGCATGAAACCATAAGACCGTCTTTTTTAATACTCTTTGATTTTTAGTTATCTTTTACAAAATGTCTTATCAAAATTTTTTTCATTGCTTAGTTAATCTTAAGTTAATTTTAAGCCAGCCCGTAATGCTATGCATATAAGTGGCTTTGGCATGCTGCTCTTACCTGCATTTTTTGTACCTCTGTTTGTATGCTAAAATTTCTAAAAAAAATTTATTAAGCTAAAAGGCAAGAGGATGAGAGAGCCTATAGGAAAAAAATGTATTAACCCTTTGACTGTCGACGTCGTATACATACGTCTTACGAGGTACCGTGTTTGACGTATATATACTCATAAATTCTAGCGGCTTCAAATCAAGCTGAGAAAGCTGGTAGGCCCACATGTGAGAGAATGGGTCTGTGTGGTCAGTGTGCACCATATAAAAAAAAATCCTGGAGCATGCAGTGCATAATGAGAAGAAAAAACAGACCATTTTTTTTAATTAAAATGCCGATTTTGTGGTCTATTTTCGTATAGTATTTATGGTTGTATTCTCGTTTTCTTGGTCTCATTTGATAGAATGGAAAACATATTATAGAAATAGAGGTGATTTTGATTGATTTTACTATAAAAAGAACCTGGAAATGGAGCTCAAAATAGGGGAAATGTTTGATTTTGCCGATGTTCAAAAGTAAACAAATGATGTTATTATCCAATAAATGTCGAACTAGCCATTCTAATATGCAGTCGTCAATGGGTTAATGTTGTTTATACAATTATTACAGTATTGCAGTAGTCTGCATAACAGTAAATCTTCTATTTTTTGTTTGAATAAAAATTAAAAATAGAAAGCAAGAGTAATATCAAAGGAGCCTGGAGACGTGACTGATGAACAAAGAAAATGTTATTTTAGAGCCAGGAATGTCTGCATTTTTCATTCTGGACTGTATTTTGAAATTGTCATATTTTTTAATTTTCGTGAAATTGGCCAAATTGCAAATTTCTGACCATGTTATTGGGTAGTTGAAATCGGTAAAGGGGCAGTTTCTTGTACTCAATCGATAGAAAAAATGGAGTTCTAAAGAAATAGCTATGAGTTTGGTCGACTGGAATAATGGAATTAGCCGAAAATAGGGGTCAAAGTGGGCGAAATTGCCAATTTGTAAATATCGCCGAGGTTGCTAACTTCGCGAGAGCGTAATTCCATCAGTTTTCCATCAAATTTTGTGTTTTTGGTGTCATTACAATCAGGAAAAGATTCTCTATCATTTCATAAGAAGAAATTTTTTTTTTTTTTTTTAAATTTTGCGACACCAGGAGACACTTCAGGATTGGGGGTTGTGACAGTCAAGGAGTTAATGGGGCACAGAGGACTTCCAAGTTGTGAGCTTCAGGTAGACCATAAAATGGAGAACAAAAGGGGAATAAATTATATGGAAATGTATGAAATAAAAAATCACTTACCTTGCTTATAAAGTTTTTGTGAACTTGATCTTCTAATTTCTTAACAGTAGTCATTGAATGGAATTCTGTTATTAACTGATTCAATACAACACATCCTTTGCTGAAGCCAATAAGTGTTATGTCATTTATTTCAACATTAGATTCATCAGATGAGTTAGCATCAGAGTTTTGTTGAAAGCATGTTGAGGTCTCTTTTGTGCACTGCTGCAAGTCTTGTTCTTCATTACTCTGCAAATGTGGATGTGGTAAAATACCATCATCAGTTTCCTCAGGTAAGTGGTAGCCCTTTCTAAATTGTACTTTCTTAAGTCCTTCTGATATAAGGAAGGCAAGATGAGTTGTAGCTGCAGTGCCAGGCTGGTGCGTTGGTGCACCCACACTATTGCTTTCCACAAAGTTATCAAAGCAGCTGAAGGTTTTCCTTTCCATCCTGAAATAACCAAACATGTCACAACTATATCTTTAGGAAATTTATAAATTTCTTCCAGTTTCTATATGAAGATCAGTACCAATAATCTATGCTGTTTCCTTTTAGATTTCTCCTTTTCTAAAGAGGGGAGATAATAAGGAATGCCCCAGCATGCATACAAATCTGAGAAAGCAGGAGACAACAACAGAAGTAGCAAGCAAACACTGAAGTTTGCGCACAAGAATATAAGCAGTGAAATCAGCATTTTTTTTGGGTGGGAGACAGAAAAGGATCCCATTACAAATTTTTTTTTCAACAAACCGACCATATTCCACCGAGGCAAGGTGACCTAAAAAAAAAAAGCAAAAATTTCTCTTTTTAAATTTAGTAATGTATATAGGAGAAGGGGTTACTATGTTGGCTGTAGATACTGTACATAAGGTGCTTGAGGAGATATATTTCCAGAATGATACTACTGTATAGTAGGGCTCCACTTATATGGCAGGTTGGGTTCCAGGCTCCCACCGTAAAGTGGAAATCGCTGTAAAGCGAAATGCCCTTTTTCCACTTATAAATGCATATAAATGCCAAAAAACAAGTTTATACAATAAATATTAAGTTAGCAATATACAGTAGAGCGTCATTTAACCCTTTGACTGTTTCAGTCATATATATACGTCTTACGAGGTACCGTGTTTGACGTATGTATATACTCATAAATTCTAGCGGCTTCAAATCAAACAGGAGAAAGCTGGTAGGCCCACATGTGAGAGAATGGGTCTGTGTGGTCAGTGTGCACCATACAAAAAAAATCCTGGAGCACGTAGTGCATAATGAGAAAAAAAACTACAACAGTTTTTTTTAATTAAAATGCTGAATTTGTGGTCTATTTTCGTATAGTATTTATGGCTGTATTCTTGTTTTCTTGGTCTCATTTGTTAGAATGGAAAACATATTATAGAAATAGATGTGATTTTGATTGGTTTTACTATAAAAAGAACCTGGAAATGGAGCTCAATGTAGGGGAAATGTTTGATTTTTGCCGATGTTCAAAAGTAAACATATGTCATTGTCCAATAAATGTCCAAGTAGCCATTCCAATATGCAGTCATGAATGGGTTTACATTATTTGTACAATTATTACAGTATTGCAGTAGTCTGCATAACAGTAAATCTTCTATTTTTTGTTTGAATAAAAATTAAAAATGGAAAGCAAGAGTAATATCAGAGGGGCCCGGAGACGTGACTGATGAACAAAGAAAATGTTATTTTAGAGCCAGGAATGTCTGCATTGTTCATTCTGGACTGTATTTTGAAATTGTCACATTTTTTTATTTTCGTGAAACTGGCCAAATTGCAAATTTCTAACCATGTTATTGGGTACTTGAAATCGGTAAATGGGCAGCGTCTTGTATTCAATCGATAGAAAGAAAGGAGTTCTAAAGAAATAGCTATGAGTTTGGGCGACTGGAACAACAGAATTAGCTGAAAATAGGGCTCAAGGTGGGCAAAACCGCCAATTTTTAAATATCACCGAGGTCGCTAACTTCGCGAGAGCGTAATTCCGTCAGTTTTCCATCAAGTTTTGTTTTTTTTGGTGTCATTACAATCGGGAAAAGATTATCATTTCATAAGAATTTTTTTTTTTTTTAAATTTTGCAACACCAGGAGACACCTCAGGATTGGGGGTTGCAACAGTCAAGGGGTTAACATGGTAGTTACGTTCCTGAAAATGCCGTGCTAGGTAAAACCGTGTTAGATGAACTGAAGAACTTGTGAGAAAAATAGGGTTATGTTTCTGAGAACCCCAACAAAGCCAAACAACTTTTTTTTAGGCCTCCACCTCTTACAAAAATAAAAGTGAATATGCAATTGTAGTTCATTATTGTGCTGTATTATGTTGTTTTTACTTCTTAAGATTACAAATGTAGCAGAAATAGTAGTATTTCATACCTTAAATTGTGGTGCTAGTGTTTGTGGATGACTGTGAAGAGAGTGGAGAGTTATGTTGTGGTCCTACTGGGCTGAGGTGGATGGTAGAGGTTCTGGTACTGAAGTTGATGGTTGTACTGGAGTGTCTAACTTTCAGTCGAGTCATTCAGTTGGTCAAGTTATTCAGTTGGTCAAGTTATTCAGTAAGTCAGTCAAGTCATTCAGTAAGTCAGTCAAGTCATTCAGTCAGTCAAGTCATTCAGTCAGTCAAGTAAGTTATCAGTCAAGTCAGTAAGCTATTCATTCAAGTCATTTAGTCATTCAGTCAGTCAGTCAGTCAGTCGCACAAACTTATGTTTACCTCTTTTTGTGTGTACAAAGTAACACTTCATTATGCCACAGGTTATCTCTTGTCTAATATCTTTGTTTTCTTTGTTAATTCTAAGGCTTAAATACTTATACCTTTTCTTGCCACTTTCAGCAACACTGGTATGCCTACTGGGAGTCATGATTGCTTGGCAGATACAAGATATAGTAATTAAAAGATCAAAACACAATTCACAAACAGAGCTAGCTTGTAGTAGAGAAAGACTGGAAGCGTATGAAGTACGAATGTTGGGATGGTGGGGTGATGTCAGGGAGTGGCAGGAGATGGCAGGAGCTTTCCCCAGCTGATCCACAACAAGGCAGCCGCTTGAGGAAAAGAGAATTTTTTTTCCTTCCTGCAAACTGAACCATGTTAAATTAATTTTACTGTGTGTTACATAAAATTGTGCCACAATTCTTCAATTGTGCTATACCCAAATCATGTCAACTAAACGCATGCTAAATGACGGTCTACTGTAACTAGGTATTAAAAAGCAATAAAAACTAAATTGCACACACAGTACACTCATTACTTACATTAAAATATTTGTAGTCTTAATGTAAGGTGAGGTGAGTATTTATTGTAGTCAAATGTGTAGGTCCCACACTAGCTTCCACAGCACAAATTTTTTTTATATATTTTTTTTTAACAAGTCGGCCGCCTCCCACCCAGGCAGGGTGACCCAAAAAAGAAAGAAAATCCCCAAAAAGAAAATACTTTCATCATCATTCAACACTTTCACCTCACTCACACATAATCACTGTTTTTGCAGAGGTGCTTAGAACACAACAGTTTAGAAGCATATACCTATAAAGATACACAACATATCCCTCCAAACTGCTAATATCCCAAACCCCTCCTTTAGAGTGCAGGCATTGTACTTCCCATTTCCAGAACTCAAGTCCGGCTATATAAAAATAACCGGTTTCCATGAATCCCTCTACTAAATATTACCCTGCTCACACTCCAACAGATCGTCAGGTCCCAAATACCATTTGTCTCCATTCATTCCTATCTAACACGCTCACGCACGCTTGCTGGAAGTCCAAGTCCCTCGCCCACAAAACCTCCTTTACCCCCTCCCTCCAATCTTTTCGAGGACGACCCCTACCCCGCCTTCCTTCCCCTACAGATTTATACGCTCTCCATGTCATTCTACCTTGATCCATTCTCTCTAAATGACCAAACCACCTCAACAACCCCTCTTCAGCCCTCTGACTAATACTTTTATTAACTCCACATCTTCTCCTAATTTCCACACTCTGAATTTTTTGCATAATATTTACACCACACACTGCCCTTAGACAGGACATCTCCACTGCCTCCAACCGCCTCCTTGCTGCTGCATTCACAACCCAAGCTTCACACCCATATAAGAGTGTTGGTACTACTATACTTTCATACATTCCCTTCTTTGCCTCCATAGATAACGTTTTTTGTCTCCGCATATACCTCAACGCACCACTCACCTTTTTTCCCTCATCAATGCTATGATTAACTCATCCTTCATAAATCCATCCGCCGACACGTCAACTCCCAAGTATCTGAAAACATTCACTTCTTCCATACTCCTCCTCCCCAATTTGATATCCAATTTCTCTTTATCTAAATCATTTGATACCCTCATCACCTTACTCTTTTCTATGTTCACTTTCAACTTTCTACCTTTACACACACTCCCAAACTCATCCACTAACCTTTGCAATTTTTCTTTAGAATCTCCCATGAGCATAGTATCATCAGCAAAAAGTAACTGTGTCAATTCCCATTTTGTACTTGATTCCCCATAATTTAATTTCTATGCATTTATAAGTGGAAAAAAAGGGTGTTCCACTTTACGGAGATTTCCGCTTTACGGGGGTAGCATGGAACCTAACCTGCCACATAAATGGGGCCCTACTGTAATACAGCTGATTTCCTCTATTCTTTTTATTACAATACAGCCTCTCCTCCTTAGCGATGTACTCGTTTACCAATGACTTGGACTTACAACAGGCTCTCTGACCAGTATGCATACCTAAATAATGTATATCAGAGCTGATTTCCTCTATTCTGTTTATTACAATATACAGTACACTACTCTAAAAACATTTAAAAATATACATGTACCAGAAATGTTATAAATAGTGCAAAGGTGACATTAAAAAAAAAATCTAAAGATGGTTGACACAAACCCACTACCAGTATAGCATGCTCCTCGCTTAACAACCAATTTACTTACCGATCTACTCTTAGGAAGAGAACCTTGTTGTTAAGCGAGGAGAGGTTGGATATATATATATATATATATATATATATATATTCTCCATGGGGAAGTGGATCAGAATTCTTCCTCCGTAAGCCATGCGTGTTGTAAGAGGCGACTAAAATGCCAGGAGCAAGGGGCTAGTAACCCCTTCTCCTGTATATATTACTAAATGTAAAAGGAGAAACTTTCGTTTTTCCTTTTGGGCCACCCTGCCTTGGTGGGATATGGCCGATGTGTTGAAAGAAGAAGAATAAATAAATAAATAAATAAATAAATAAATAAATAAATATATAAATATATATATATATATATATATTATATATAATATATATATATATATTATATATATATATATTTTATAAATATAATTATATAAAATATATAAAATAAATAAATAAATAAATAAATAAATATATATATATATATAATATATATATATATATATCCTCAGTGGGATACAGCCAGTTTGTTGAAAGAAGAATATACGTATAAAGTACATCTACAATCTTGGCTGCTGTGGCCATCCACTCAGAGTGAAATTACTGAAGGAATAAGGCACTAATTATAGATTAATTGAACAAAAGTGTGCTTTATCACAAAAATGTTAAGTATAGTCTAGCAAGCTATTCATTTTAAACCTACCTGTTAGGTTTGACAACAAAAATATGATGTGTTGGAAACTTTGTAGCAAGTAATGCTGCTACACTTGTCAGTGACCATTCAACATAGTGCTTGTTGTCACGGTGAGCAAGCATATTCTCTGGGTAGTCCTGCCACAAAAGTTTTGCTTCATTAGTAGTTGTACATCTGTGAGGTGAGGTCAGATATAAGTGAAAAGGGGAAAGAGAAAGGGGGGGTACAGTGACAAATTTTTATAATTATATAAATCCTGAACAATGTGGGCAACACATGTGGCCAACATGTACATTCTGCTATTGTGCCCAATGGTTTTGGTAGGGCAGATAACTGCTACTGCTTCCAAAATTCTGTCTGGCCCAGTTGCTCCTGTAGTGTAACAGTTGTGCTCTTCCCCAGTCTATTACTTGAGAAAATTTCCAGCCAAGACAGGACTCACAGCAATGGTTTCAAGTTGGAAAAATTCAGATTCAGGAAGACTATAGGAAAGCACTGGTTTTGGTAATAGAGTTGTGGATGAGTGGAACAAACTCCCGAGTACAGTTACAGAGGCTAAAATGTTGGGTAGTTTTAAAAATAGGTTAGATAAATACATGAGTGGGTGTGAGTTGGACCTGACTAGCTTGTGCTACTAGGTCTGATGCCGTGCTCCTTCCTTAAGTGGAAGTGACCTGACTAGGTGGGTCATTGGGCTAAGCCAGAGGGTGACATGGACCTGCTTTACATAGGTCAGTAGGCCTGCTGCAGTGTTCCTTCTTTCTTATGTTCTTCTTATGAATGAAGGTTATGATGGACTACAAATTCATTGCTGGATTTATTCCTCCTGCTAGTAAATTTATGTTCCTGAAAGCATGTATGAAAGTCTCTGTCAGTCTTACTAAAGTAAAATTGATCACAACCACCACATGAAATGCTCTATAATTGTGTAAATAGTTCTGGGTTTAGATCTTCTGGTTATCTTTTTTAATTGTTTTGCTGGTAAAGACTGCTACATCCATGTTGGCTTTTCGAAGAACTCGGGTGATGGTGATGGTAGAATGTCCAGCGAGGAGGACCACGTGTCATCTGTGTCGTTGTTGGTATCCTCTTGGGGTGTACTATGTATGAGGAATCAAATCAAATCAAATAAAAAAAATCAAAGTTTATTCTCTATAAGGATTATAATGCAGGGTTTACAGATTTTGGTTATTGTGTGGTTTACATGTAGTAAAATAATAATTACAGAGGGGGCCACTAGAACACCTAGCATGGCTAGGCATTTTGGGCAAACATACAAACCACACCCCAAGAAGATACTAACATCAATAGACTATTGACCCTTCCCACTGGACAGACTACCATCACCATCTCCCCAACTGTCATAAAAGCCAACATGGATGTAGCAGTCCTTACTACCAAAACTATTAAAAAAGATAACCAGAAGCTCTAAACCCAGAGATATTTGCACAGCAGATTATAGAGCATACTGTGTAGTGGTTGTGATCACATCTATATCAGTAAAACTGGAAGAGACTTTCAGAAATGCCTTCAGGAACAAATGTGCCAGCAGGAGGAATAAAATTAACAATTCATTTGTAGTCCATCATAACCTCCATTCTCAAATAATGGACTAGGGAAGAACAACGACCCGAGCACCGAATTTTGGAAGCAGCAGCAGTGATCCACCTTGCCAAAACCAATGAGCAAAACAGTGGAATGTATATATTGGCCACAATTAGTGTCACATCGTCCACAATTTATAAAATAAATAATAAAATTGTCACGTTATCCCTTACTGAGCTCCCACTAATACCTGACTTCCCCTAAACATGGTCTTACAATTTCATGACCTCATATGTGAGTTGCCTTACTCCAAGCCTGACCTTGTTGTGTTCATTTGCTCAGTCTTGGGCAAAATGTTGTATTAAAGCATTTCCTGCTGCCAATGTCTTCACTTCCTCTGGTTTACTATACAGGAGGGCCCCACTTTAAAGTGCTTCACTTTACAGTATTTTGCTAATGCAGAAGTTTTCAATTGTACCTATTCTTAATTCATTCAGACTTCCTACTATAAATATATTCACCACTTACTATAAGTTAAGGATGAAAATATTTTAAGGATAGTAATGTGTGTACTGTATGTGCATTTTTTAGCACATACAGTACATACAGCTCTATTGCTTATTTAACCCTTTCAGGGTTGGTGCCATACAAGTACGCATAAATTCTAGCCCCTTCAAATCAAGCGAGAGAAAGCTAGTAGGCCTACATATGAAAGAATGGGTCTATGTGGTCAGTGAGCACAGTATAAAAAAAATTCCTGCAGCACACAGTGCATAATGAGAAAAAAAACTCTGACCGTGTTTTTGGTTTAAAACAGCGACTGTGCAGTGTATTTTCGTATGGTATTTATGGTTGTATTCTAGTTTTCCAGGTATCATTTTATAGAATGGAAGCCATATTACAGAAATTGAAATGATTCTGATTGGTTTCACAATGAAAAGTACATACCTTGAAATTGGGTTCAAATTAGCAGAAATGTTCAAAAGTAAACAAATCATGCCATGTGTCCAATACACATCAACTGGTGAGTCTAATATTCTTTCACAAGTGCGCTGTTATTATTTATACCATTTCTACACTAATGCAGTAGTCTGCATAACAGTCAATCTTCTATTTTTTGTGAGAATAAAAATTCAAAGTGGAAAGCAAAAGAAACATAACAGAGGCCTGGGGACGTGACTAATGAACAGAGGAAATGTTATTTTAGTGCCAGGAATGTCTGTGTCTTGTTTATTCTGGACCCTATTTGGAAAGTGGCATCTTTTGAAATTTGTGTGTAATTGGCAAACTTGCCAATTTCTGACCACTTTACTGGATAGTTGAAACTGGTAAATGGGTAGTTTCTTGTACTCATTCGATAGAAAAAATGGAGTTCTACCAAAACAGGTACGATTTTTATCGACTGGTACAGTGGAATTGGCTGAAAATAGGGCTGAAAGTGGGCGAAATCGACAATGCGTAAACATGTTCGAGACCGCTAACTCCGTAAGTCTTCCATCAAATTTCATACTTTTGGTGTCATTATGATCGGGAAAAGATTCTGTATCATTTCATAAGAAAAAATAATAATTTTTTTTTCGAAAAATTTCTGACCTTGAGAACAAGTTCAGGAGAGGGCCTGCCGACCCTGAAATCATTAATACAGGTCTCCCTCAACATTCGCGAGGGTTAGGGGATCAAGAGCCTCGGGAATGTTGAAAAACCGTGAATGTTTGGTGCCCCAATATATTGTAGGGAAATGTAATACAATACTGCTTCCTTAACTTGTTGAACCGTGAACAACCATAAAATACATGAAAACGTCATAAACTGTACTAAAAATATACATGTTATGCTTTAATAACATGTATGTTATTAAATACCACAGACTCCACCATTGCCTCCACCAATGCCTCCACCACTTCCTCAACCACTGCGAGTCCCTACTACCCTCCCTCCGACCCCCGCAACTGGCAGCCAGCCCTCCCACCACTCAGTGTGGTGAGTGTTTTGTTTGTTCATTATTTGCTATTAAACTACTGTATAAATAATGTAAACCCATTCATGACTGCATATTGGAATGGCTATTCGGACAGGTATTGGACGGTGACATCATGTGTTTACTCTTGAAACACAGCAAAAGAATCAAGCATTTCTGCTACTGCTAATAATAACAATAGTAATAATAATAATAATAATAATAATAATAATAATAATACGATATAATTGAAGAAGGAAATTATACAAAAATACGAGGGAGTGGTTGACATATCGTCAGTGTGGCTTTGTTTATGTTGGAGTGAGCATTAGTCTCCGTGCTCTTCCAAACATTTCACAATAATTCAGCAGTTGAGGCAGTGGTATTTAATAACATATATGTTATAAATAATAATAGTACATATTATTAACAACATGTATTATTATTATTAATAACATGTATGTTATTAAATACCACTGCCTCAACCGCTGCCTCAACCACTGCCTCAATCGCTGCCTCAACCGCTGCCTCAACAGCTGCCTCAACAGCTGCCTCAACAGCTGCCTCACCCACTGCCTCAATCGCTGCCTCAACAGCTGCCTCAACCACTGCCTCAATCGCTGCCTCAACAGCTGCCTCAACCATTGCCTCGATTGCTTCCTCAACAGCTGCCTCACCCACTGCCTCAATCGCTGCCTCACCCACTGCCTCAACAGCTGCCTCAACCACTGCCTCAATCGCTGCCTCAATCGCTGCCTCAATCGCTGCCTCAACAGCTGCCTCAACCACTGCCTCAATCGCTGCCTCAACAGCTGCCTCACCCACTGCCTCAACAGCTGTCTCACCCACTGCCTCAATCGCTGCCTCAACAGCTGCCTCAACAGCTGCCTCAACCACTGCCTCAATCACTACCTCAACAGCTGCCTCACCCACTGCCTCAATCGCTGCCTCAACAGCTGTCTCACCCACTGCCTCAATCGCTGCCTCAACAGCTGCCTCAATCGCTGCCTCAACAGCTGCATCACCCACTGCCTCAATTGCTGCCTCAACAGCTCCCTCAACCACTGCCTCAATCGCTGCCTCAACAGCAGCCTCACCCACTGCCTCAATCGCTGCCTCACCCACTGCCTCAACAGCTGCCTCAATCGCTGCCTCAATCGCTGCCTCAACAGCTGCCTCACCCACTGCCTCAATCGCTGCCTCAACAGCTGTCTCACCCACTGCCTCAATCGCTGCCTCAACAGCTGCCTCAATCGCTGCCTCAACAGCTGCCTCACCCACTGCCTCAATTGCTGCCTCAACAGCTCCCTCAACCACTGCCTCAATCGCTGCCTCAACAGCAGCCTCACCCACTGCCTCAATCGCTGCCTCAACCACTGCCTCAATCGCTGCCTCAACAGCTGCCTCAACCACTGCCTCAATCGCTGCCTCAACAGCTGCCTCACCCACTGCCTCACCCACTGCCTCAACAGCTGCCTCAACCACTGCCTCAATCGCTGCCTTAACAGCTGCCTCAATCATTGCCTCAACAGCTGCCTCAACCACTGCCTCAACCACTGCCTCAATCGCTGCCTCAATCGCTGCCTCAACAGCTGCCTCAACCACTGCCTCAACAGCTGCCTCAACCACTGCCTCAATCGCTGCCTCAACAGCTGCCTCAACCATTGCCTCAATCGCTGCCTCAACAGCTGCCTCACCCACTGCCTCAATCGCTGCCTCAACAGCTGCCTCAATCGCTGCCTCAATCGCTGCCTCAACAGCTGCCTCAATCGCTGCCTCAACAGCTGCCTCAATTGCTGCCTCAATTGCTGCCTCAACCACTGCCTCAATCGCTGCCTCAACAGCAGCCTCAACAGCTGCCTCACCCACTGCCTCAATCGCTGCCTCAATCGCTGCCTCAACAGCTGCCTCAACAGCTGCCTCAATCGCTGCCTCTACCACTGCCTCTACCACTGCCTCTACCACTCCAGTCGCACTCAATCTACAAGAACCAAACAATGAATTATTGTGAAATGTTTGGAAGAGCATGGAGACTAATGCTCACTCCAGCATAAAGCCACACTGACGATGTGTCAACCACTCCCTCGTATTTTTGCACAACTTCCTTCAATTATATCGTATTTATTATTATTATTTATTATTATTATTATTATTATTATTACTATTACTATTGTTATTATTAGCTGTAGCAGAAATGTTTAATTCTTTGCTGTGTTCAAGAGTAAACACATGATGTCACCGTCTAATACCTGTCCGAATAGCCATTCCAATATGCAGTCATGAATGGGTTTACATTATTTATACTGTAGTTTAATAGCAAATAATGAACAAACAAAACACTCACCACACTGATTGGTGGGAGGGCTGGCTGCTAGTTGCGGGGGTCGCTGGGAGGGTAGTAGGGACTCGCAGGTGGCGGGAAACTTGAATATGATTTGGCGGCTGGGAATTTGGTGGCTGGGAATTTGGCGGTTGGGAATTCGCGAATGTGTGAAGCCCGCGAAAGCTGAAAACGTGAATGTTGAGGGAGACCTGTATATGATAGTGTAACCATGTTATCAGGTTTTTATATGCATCTGAAAGTGAAAAAAGGCTGTTTCAATTTATAGTGATTTTTGCTTTACAGCAGTAGACCAGAACCTAATCTGCTGTATAAGCAGGGCCCTCTTGTATTGGTGACCAAGACTTCTTGTCATATTCACCAATACTTACAATGAATAAATCTGCTTCATGACATGAACAATCCTTAACACACATACTCAAAGATCTGGATAATGAATTTTAATTTGTATCCAACAAACTTAATTTATGATCAATAAATCACCGAGAAAGCAAAGACTATTACAGTGAAATGATATACATTTCATAAGTAATTTTATATAACATATAGTCAAACCCCTAAATTCAAGCGCATCCTCATTCAAATGCTTCGAGTTTTACTATAAATAAATGCTTGCAATGAGCTTCTATTTTTCTAGCTTTTTTTAGTGCCTATTTTGTTTGCAACCCCAAAATTGTAAACAATCCACAAGAATGCCCAAATTACTCTTCCTTGTAAATGTTAATACTAACTAGATTAACAATATTTAAATAGATGGCCTGTAAAACAAAAAATGAAGCCAAATCTGAAATTATTATACCTTGTGGCCATTTTCGTTGATTCTGAATTCACGATGAGCTCTATGAATCTAACTCTGAAGAATTTTGAAAATACTAAAATAAAACAGAAGCATAAAGAGTACCTGCACATCACCACCAAAGAAAGCAAGCACTGATGTGGAGTGCGAGGCTGAAGAAGTGGAGGCATATATCAAGTCATTACTCAGCCCACTGGGGACACTCACAGCACCAAGCTGCAGTACCTCTGGACCTTCTATTTTCCCACTCATTAGTCTGAAATTGTTAAAGAAATCATTGCTGAAAACTGAGCTATGGTAGTGATCATTCCCAGACCCATAGTAAAGTACAGTACATCATCAGGTTGGTTCAATATCTATACATGAATTTCTCTGATGATAAATTATGATAAATCTAAATACAGTAGGGTCCCGCTCTATGGCGCTCCGCTAATACGGCAATGTCAAATTATGACCAAAATTTGCTATACGGCAAGCAGTCTTTCAAATACGGCATGCCCCACCCAGTTTGTTTACATTCTCCGTGACCACATCTATTATGTCAGGAAACTTTCCAAAATTTCAAGTATTTTAAAGTTACTGTGTATTTTATATGTACTCTGATAATTATACTTATGTGTACCTGTACCTAAATATACTTACACACTGTGCTGGTGTGCAGGTACACATTAAAATCGCTAAGAGTCTCTCTACTCACGACGCCAATACTACGTAATAATAATCACTCTTGAGCACATTAAATGTCTTATTTTACATTAATATAGGCATTTTCATTAATCCATCTATGATATTGTCCTCAAAATTATATATGAAACCTGTTACATAGAATATAAACATAATACATACACTCACAGAATAAAAATTGACGTAAATATGAGATTTGTTTACAAAGCGGCTGTATAGGTAGTGTTGGAAGAATTATGTTTTCTCTAGCCAAACTGGGGGATAACTGCAGAAAAATATTCTTTTCATACGCCTTCACTCTATATATAGCAATTCATGACCCTTGTGGGTTTAGTGATTTTTATAATGACAATTAATAATAATAATAATAATAATAATAATAATATGTAATAATAATAATAATAATAATATGTAATAATAATAATAATAATGATAATATCTTCATTCCCTCTAAAAATAGTGTGTTGCTGTTTGTTCATTCTGTACTAAATTGTACAACTTGTACACAATGTAAGAATATTTGTATTGTGAGGTAATTATTATAATAAAAAAATATTGAGGTAAATGTTTTACAAACTCTTACAAACGTACGTGAATGAACTAAAAGTAGACACATATTAATACCCATTTATTTCGCCTGATCAAGTGATCGCCCACTACCTGTTCAGTTTGTGTTCTTACATTGTCTCAACTCTGTATCTCGTTCTCTCTCTCGTTTACTAGTTAAACGCCGGTAGGTGTAGCCCAGGCGGGCTACACCTACCGGCTACCTACACTGACTTCCTACAAATTAATACTAATCACCTCTCTTCCTACATTAAGACTACACATATTTTAAGGTAAATAATGAGTGTACTGTATGTGTATTTTAACTCTCTGGGCTGTTTTAAATATCGTATATTAAGTATGAGACGGGGAGCCAGTGCTACCTACACCTGGGCTACCTGCACCTGACTTCCTACAAATAAGTACTACTCACCTCTCTCCCTACATTAAGATTACAAATACTTTAAGATAAGTAATGAATGTACTGTGAATGTAATTTACTTTGTGTGTTTTTCATGCCTAGTTCTATTACTAACTTAGTATAATTTAGTGTAAACTTCTTGTCTGGCATTTATATGCATTTATAAATGGAAAAAAATGGCGTTCTGCTTTCTGGTGATGTCTGCTTTCCGGCGATAGCCTGGAACCTAACCCGCCGTATAAGTGGGGCCCTATTGTACTGTTCAGTGGATGAGTGGGTGGGTGGCTGTGGTGTGTTTAAGGTGCCTCAGGTTCCAAATTTGCACACTGTTAGAACATACTGGAGTGAGACATATGGTAGATGGTGTAGAATAAAGCCAGTGAAAGGCAGGAGCACAATAAGAGAACATTGCATCAAAATCTGTGATCCTAGAGTTTTAACATCTTATCAGATATTATCAGAAACACTGCTGGAACAGATGTAGAAGTCTTCAAGAGAAAACTTGGCTATTTCCTCTGTCTAGTGCCAGATCAACTGAGCTGTGATGGGTATGTGGGTCAGCGGACTGTCACCAGCAGCAAAAACCTGGTTGACCAGGCAAGCACAAAACAAGCCTGGCTCAGGTCCATGCTATGGCAGTAGGACAACTGTTGAAACCCATCAAATGCATATCAAAGGTAAAATATGTCCTATGCAAATTTTATGTGATCTTTCAAGCTCTTGCACTGTCAACATGCAAGATATTACTGGGAAATAATCACTATACAGGCATTGTGAATCTTAACCCTTTCAGGGTCCCTAGGCCCTCTCCCAGACTCGTTCTCAGGGTTGCCCAAATTTCAAAAAAAAAAAAAAAAAAAAAAAAAAAACTCATGAAAAGATAGAGAATCTTTTTCCAATCATAATGACACCAAAAGTATGAAATTTGATGGAAAACTTACGGAATTATGCTCTCGCGAAGTTAGCGGTCTCGACAATGTTTACGCAGCGGCAATTTTGCCCACTTTGAGCCCTATTTTCGGCCAATTCCAGTGTACTAGTTGACAAAAATCATAACTATTTCACTAGAACTCCAATTTTTCTATCGAATGAGTACAGGAAACCAACACTACCAATTTCAACTATCCAATACAGTGGTCAAAATTTAGCAATTTTGCCAATTTCACACAAATTTCAAAAGATGCCAATTTCCAAATAGGGTCCAGAATAAACAAGAAAGACATTCCTGGCACTAAAATAACATTTCCTCTGTGCATTAGTCATGTCCCCATGCCCCTCTTACATTCTTTTGCTTTCCACTTTGAATTTTTATTCTCACAAAAAATAGAAGATTTACTGTTATGCAGACTACTGCATTAGTGTAGAAATGGTATAAATAATATCGACACACTTGTGAAAGTATATTAGACTCACCAGTTGACGTGTATTGGGCGCTTAGCATGATTTGTTTACTTTTGAACTTCGGTTAAAATCGAACATTTCTGCTACTTTGAGCTCAATTTCAAGGTACTTTTCATTGTAAAACCAGTCAAAATCATCTCAATTTCTCTAATATGTCTTCCATTCTATAAAATGAGACCAGGAAAACTAGAATACAACAATAAATACCATACGAAAATACAGTGCATATTCGCTGTTTTAACCCAAAAACACGGTCAAAGTTTTTTTTTTTTTCTCTCATTACACACTGTGTGCTTCAGGATTTTTTTTATACTGTGCACACTGACCACAAAGACCCATTCTTTCATATGTAGGCCTACCAGCTTTCTCTCACTAGATTTGAGGGCGCTGGAATTTAGGCGTACTAGTACGTTAAAAACCCTGGTGCGTAAGCCATACTAATACAGTGGACCCCCGCATAACGATGGCATCGCATAGCGATTTTTCCGCATAACGATTACTTTTATCGCAAAATTTTTGCCCCGCATACCGATTAAAAACCCGCGTACCGATTTTCGTCCGAGACGCGTCCAATGTGCCCTCAGCCAGCCTCACATGTGCCGCTCCGTCCCATTGTTTACCAGCCAGCCTCCGCGGTAACATCCAAGCATACACTCGGAATATTTCGTATTATACAGTACTTTCGTGTGCTGTTTCTGGAAAATAAGTGACCATGGGCCCCAAGAAAGCTTCTAGTGCCAACCCTGTGGTAAAAAGGGTGAGAATTAGTATGGAAATTAAGAAAGATTTTGAAGGGTTTGGGGCTAACCCTGAGAAGCCTATGCCAGTTGTGGAATCCATTGTGCCTACTTCAAAGATTAAGGAAATGTGTGCAGAGTGGGTTGAACTGCAAACCTTTATAGATGAAAATCACCCTGACACAGCTGTTGCAAGCCGTGCTTGTGACTATTTCAATGACAATGTTATGGCCCATTTTAGGAAAGTCTTGAAGGAACGGAGGTACAGAGCTCTATGGACAGATTTGTTGTGCGACAGAGGTCCAGTGACTCTCAAGCTGGTCCTAGTGGCATTAAAAGAAGAAGGGAAGTAACCCCAGAAAAGGACTTGCTACCTCAAGTCCTAATGGAAGGGAATTCCCCTTCTAAACAGTAAGAAGATAATGCTCTCCCCTCCTCCCATCCCATCAATCATCACCAGATCTTCAATAAAAGTAAGTGTCATGTAATTGTGCATGCCTTTTTCAGTTTGTGTGTATTAAAATTAACATTTCATGTGGTAAAAAAAAATTTTTTTCATACTTTTGGGCGTCTTGCACGGATTAATTTTATTTCCATTATTTCTTATGGGGAAAATTCATTCGCATAACGATTATTTCGCATAACGATGAGCCCTCTTGCACGGATTAAAATCGTTAACCGGGGGTCCACTGTACGTCCAAAGCCCTGAAAGGGTTAACCCTTAACTCTGACTGTTTCGGCTGTATATATATATAATAATAATAATAATAATAATAATAATAATAATAATAATAATAATAATAATAATAATAATAATATCTTTATTTACTACAAGTACATGTACAAGGTATACAGTCCTAGCTGACAACAATGACATACTACTAGTATATAGAAACTCCCTTGTTATGCTCTGCATTTCGGGCAAATTAGGTCAGTGTCCTGGGATGCGACCCACACCAGTCGACTAACACCCAAGTACCCATTTTACTGATGGGGAACATAGACAACAGGTGGAAAGAAACACGTCCAATGTTTCTACTCTGGCTGGGAATCAAACCCAGGCCCTCGCTGTGTGAAGCGAGAGCGTTAGCCACCAGGCCACCAGAGCCCCTACGTCTTATGGGCTAGTGTTTCGGACGTATATAGTACATGTATACTCAATAATTCTAGTGGCTTCAAATCAAGGAGAAAACTGGTAGGCCTACACGTGAATGGGTCTGTGTGGTCAGTGTGCACTGTATAAAAAAAATCCTGCAGCACGCAGTGCACGAGAGAAAAAAAAACTCTGACCGTGTTTCTGGATTAAAATGCCGATTTTGAGGTGTATTTTCCTACAGTATTTATGGTTGTATTCTCATTTTCTTGGTCTCATTTGACAGAATGGAAAACATATTACAGAAAGAGATAATTTTGATTAGTTTCACGATGAAAGCCACCTTGAAATTGAGCTCAAAGTAGCAGAAATGT